TAGATTGATATTTTATATTTCACACTTAACATCAGATTGTAAAACCACTTTTGGATTTAAGTTTCTGTCATTCTGCACTGAAGAGAAAAGATAAATGTCAGTCTGTAGCAAGGTTAAACTACCCAGAAATCCAATAAAAATGCATTTAAGGTTAAAACAGGTCCAGCTTTGTTCAGAGACATAAACAGCATTCCTTGTGACATGACTTCAACAGCAATTAGAAACTAAAACCACTGATTTCTCCCATCAGACAGGGCTTTTGCCTTTTACCAAAACCATTATTGATTAGTTTGGCCATCGACTTGGCGCCACTGTTTTGTCTGCCACAAGTGGAGTATTTCAGGCACTCCATCACATGACAAATGAGGTTTGTCAGGAGGCTGGAAGTTGTAAGGTACTTGTCTGCAACAGACATCTCCAGGAAGAGAAGCAGAACAGAGGAGCTCACATTTTTTTTTTTTTTTTTTTTTTTTTTTTTGTTCCCAGAAAGAAGATCGTGTACTTCCCCCTGCCTGTCATAAAACTGTGAAGCTGAGTGGTACATGAAGTGCTGCATTATTCTAGCAGTTCAAATTCATGACAGCAGTTAACTGTGTAAACTATCAAAAACATTTCCTGCAGAAAGTTGTTCTGACAACATAAATGTATCTATTTTAACCTCAAAACTGATTTTATTTTATTTTTTTTACAACATTTAACAAACACTTATTCCCCAGCTATCTAGGTGCAAACAAGGATTGTACAAAGTTGTTGGCTCCCTGTCTCCTTTTTTGTTATGATGAGATTGGGCTTGAGGTCTAAACTGGACCCAGCCACCAAGATTGATGTGAATCAATCTTTTTGATTCATATCCACATTTCAATCGGTGATCATGTTCTTCTGCCTGTACTCTATAAAGAAGATATGCCTTAAACACCCACGTAGCAAGTCTATAATGTTGCATTCACCAAAGTATAGCATAAACTATACAGTAAAAACCAGCAACTTGTCAAAAATGCTGCCTGCTTTAGTGACCTTGCATAAAAATATTTAAAAAGAAAATATGTTGGACCTGCAAAAGTGTGGTTCATGTTTGGGCGTCATGCCCATAAGTTCAAACAGTTTCCAGGAAAAAACAACAGTGGTAAGAACCACTTAAGAGGATGACCTAATCCACAGTGAAATGGATGTCGGATGACAAAGAAACCTTTACTTTAAAATAAACAGAAAATAGACAATAAAATTTTCAGATGCACTCAGAGAGAGTGACTTCATTTTTTTAGACATGTCCTGTAGTCTTTATGAAGCTAATATAGAAGAGTTTAGCCATAATGACCATCTTGAAATCTGGAGACAAGAAAACACTTTGAAATAATTATGCTCTGTGTCTTTTACTGCAGGAGACAATGGGGCACTCCACAAAATGGTTGGCAGATAGAAGAAAGAACTTTATATGAAAATGTTGATGCAAAGTCCCAAACATTGAAACATTAAGAGAAAGCTTGGGCGCAATTGTCTGATCTCCATTTGACCACAGAGTTAAACTAAACTTTATATAAGTCTGCTTCATTTAAAATGTAATCCGTTAACTGCACAGTTTTTCACCCTGGTTCTTCTGCACACATTTATCTCAGGATAAGAGATACTGCAGCTTAAAGCTGAAAAGTGTAACGTTTATGAAAATATGTTTTTCTTCTTAAAACTTTCACGACACTGTATAAAATGAGACAGGTAATCTCTGTGTGAAAAGTCAAGCTCCTCTGCCTCCTTGATGTGATCCCACTGCAGAAATCCAATGCTCCCTGTCAGAAACAGCCAATCAGAGCAAAGTGGAGGGTCTTAGCATTATCTATCAAGCTTAGGCGGTTGGGCTAATTTTGTAACACAACCTTTTGATGCACTCCAATCAAAGGATTTCTGTAACTGATAATTTTACACTTCTGCACCTGTCCAAAAGTAGCTTGGCCCACTCCTCCCAGGTTTGCAGGGTACCTCAGATCCTTCCACAGATGTTCAACAGGCTTTCGATCCAAGCTCAGAGATGGCCAGTTCAGAATAGTCCAATGTTTTGCTCTTAGCCACTCCCGGGTGTCTTTAGCTGTGTGTTTTTGGTCAATATACTGCAGGGAAAGCCCATGGCCTCGACTGAGACCGATCTCTCTGACACTAGGCAGCACATTTCTCTTGAGAATGCCTTGATAGTCTTGAGGTTTCTTCATAACCTGCACAGATTCAAGACATGCTGTGCCAGATGTAGCAAAGCAGCCCAGAACCCCAGTGGAGTGGCCAACATTTTTCAAGGGGGTGCTGCTGCCTATTTGGGCATTTATATCACTAACAGGAAGATATTAATAATGTTTTCCTTGTCTGTACATGGACAGATAAACAATAACTAAAGACCAGAAGACCAGAAAAGAGAAAAGGAAAAACATGTTTTAATAGTGAGTAACACTCTGTTGTAAGGTATGTTCTAATAAAATCAATGTATAACAATGACCATCTCATTAACTATGACATATAATTGCTCAACGAAGGCAAACAAACATATTTTGAGTGCAGCCTGTACTATAAACACTGAGCGATGGTAAAATGTGCACACTATTGATTGAACCAATAAATGCAACAGACTGCAAAGAAGGTTTTCTGGACTCCCATTTAACTGATAAAATGTAATTACTTTCAGGGTGGTGGGGGGGAAACCCTGCAAAATCCACAAGAGTAATATCCAATATATGAGATAACAGTGTTACAGTTGCATTTACGTTGCTCACTTATTAACTTGGACAGGTGGCATACTCACCTATTGATTGTATTGTTGGGGATCACTGCAGAAACCTGAAACAATATAAAGAATGTAGGAAAGATTCCTTATAGTCTAAGCTCAGACTTGAAATTGTAAACCCAGTACGTATCTTTATGCAGCAAACTAATGCGCAAAGAGAAGGCATCAGTTTACCAGATTGCAGTAAATCATTTAAATCCTGCAGGAGAATAACGTGCACAACAGTCCGGCACAAACAATGGAAAAATGCATTCCTGTTCTCTGCGACAAGCAGAGGCTGCCTCCTCCTCCTCATTGACTGCACATGAACAAAAGCAATAGACGACTTGTTCAAAGTAAAACTGACCGATAAGTTGTAATTTTTTATCTCCTTGCTTTCAAACCCCACCCAGGGCATCTGCCCACACGACCCACATCCAAAACCCACAACTGCATCAGTAGCTAAATACCAGTTTAAGAGTAAGTCCCACAGAAAGACAATCCTTATTAGGAGGAGTTAGATGTTGCTGAATGTTAATGAATGAATATTAAGTTCTGTGTATTTCATAAAAGAAATGTAAATTATTACTAAGCATTCATATGTTGATGAAGTGTGGAAATTATTCCACACTTTGCTGATACATATCAAGTAATTTCCTTTGCTTCGTTTTGTTGGAAACTTCTTATTAATTTCACTTTATCATTTTTGAAGCAATTCTTGTCAGACGTTTTTGTCAAGCAAGTCATTTCCTTTTCCATTTATGCTCACACATAAATGCAATATGGAGAAAAATAATTATGCAATAAATGTACTCCAAAATTGATCAAATAAGGCCATTCCTCTACGGGTAAAGCGGTTGTCTTGTATTCAGAACGTGGCAGGCTTGATTCCTACTGCGCCCTTGGGCAAGGCATCTAACCTCAAGTCGCCTAACAATCTGCATGCTCTGGTTTGTGAGTGTGAACCGGCGAATGTGGTTCTAGTGTGAAGTGCTTTGAGTGGTCAGAATGATTAGGAAAGCGCTATTAGCTCAGTCCATTTACCATTTAGAAGTTTCTCCCAGAAAATCCTTTCTACCTGAGAGCTTTTCTGGCACAAGACATTCCAGCGCCTGATTAACGTAAGATGCTCTGTGTGACCAAAACTTTCATCTCTTTAGGAAGCAAGTCTTAAAACAAGTTTTAATTTTGTGGCCAAACTGAAACTGAAAACCATGATGTAAAGGAATAAGAATCTATTTCAAACCAATCTCAATCAAACGTAATGATTTTCATCTTTTTATTATGTGGAAATATCTTAGAACTATATATAGTTTTTAAAATATTGTCCATGATGATTACACATGTGTGTTTCACATCATGGCACATCATAATCAACAAGTGAGAATGCATTCAGGCGATGCCTGTCAGATTATATGTACCTTTTAAGAAAGTACTTTAAAAAAAAAAAAAAAAAAGTTCCAAACTGTTGTTTCTAATTTCATAAGACTCTTGTGCATAAAACAAAACACCATTTTTTTTTTTTACCTCTTCTCTCCAGGTACTCCAGTTTCCTCCCAAAGATTGGTCTCTGGGTGATGCTACGATTATAATGCAGGAATTTAGCAAATGTGTTTGTCAAATAATGTTTCTAGATATTTTGATTTTTCTAAAAATGCTTCAATAATTTAATTCAGTTGGATTCTTTATAGGAGAATGTTGGGGTGAATCACGATTTCAAGGCACTTTACAATAAAAAATGAACTTTTATACATTTTTTTTAAAGTTGCATAAGCTGCCAATTACTGTTACAATTTTGGAGAAAAAAAAAGATAAAATATTTTTATCCTTCATGCTAAAGCTTGAATTTCTTTTCATGTAGTCTATAGTTGTTTTTTTTTTGTTGTTGTTTTTTTTTGTTTGATTTTTTACATATCTTTACCAGAGTTGACAATAACAGTGGATGTTTCTTTATGCTTTAATTTACTTTCTAAATATTCTGCAAGGTACAAATCCTGAAGTCAGTTGCTGCTCAGGTTTAATCTCCGACACTCTTGTGCGTTAACTCGCAGTCTAATGGGAGCATTGCATCATACAAATCTAATCTCTCTTAAATGTTTAAAATATTTTTGGGAAAAACAAGAGAATAGACAAGGTAGCCATTTGCAAACTTATTTGACTGCCAACTATGTTGTTTTGTGGCTCTCCATAGTGTTGTCCCACAAAGAAAATAAAAAAATGTTTTATTTGAAGTTACCCAACACTGGCAAGAGTCTTAAAACAAGTTTTCAAATATCCCATTTATTGTAGAAATGATGACACTTGTAATGGGTTTATATTTCAACAAGCTAGTATATTGTGTTGTATGTGTTCATTTGAAGCTTTTACAGTTAAAAAAAAATGAAGAAGAAAATTCAAACATAGATTTTCAGTAAAGTTTGTCCATCTTCATCAAAACAAAAAGAAATACTATTTTTAATACATTTTCCTACGACATCTATAAAAAACAGGCCATGTCTAGTTTGAGCTGCAGTACCGTGAAGTATTTGTAAACAGGGAATGATCTGAGGAGTTATAAATGTACACGTCCTTTGTTGTACAAATAATACTGGCATTTTAGAACTATGAATAATGTATTTCTTATTCAGCCTGAGTTATTTAAATAAGAAAGGTTCACGCATTTTTGTGGAACATGGATGGATCCTGTTTCACCTCTTTAAGATTCAAGATAAAACTCATTTTTATAGTTTAACACATAAAATCCTACGTCACTATTCTTATCCTTGTAGCTTTAACAGAACGTATATTTCTTACTCTTTCACCCTTTATTTCTTTCTGATCAAAAAGATAAAATGAGAGACTTTTTTTATGTTTTTGAGTGACAAACTAAAACTCAGGTTATGTCAAGACGAAGCAAAAGTTCTTTTTGTAACTGGAAGCGACAGCAAAAGTGTTTCTATGCAGGCAAACATTTATAATATGTAGACCATATATGAGTAAAAACATTACAGAATTTGCTAGCATTAACATTTTAACATTTCTTTTATACTGAGGACCATGTCACTTAAAAAAAAAAAAGTCCACATATTACAAGGTTTCAAAAACATCCAGCTACAGCGTCCCGTTTGTTCAATACAGCAAAGGGCAGAAAGCGTGCACCGATTACATATCTACATGTAAATAAAGCAATAAGCAATGCAGTGGGTTATGTGGTGAGACGATAAAGAAGCTCTTACAGTAAGTAATACATAGAACATGTTTATGGCTACAAGAGGAACTCCGTACACTCTGCTGCGTACACCCTGCCAACAAAACTATTTTTACACATTCAGCTTCTTTGATTAGCTGCCTGTAGGAAGAATAACTAAAGAAGATATGTTCAGCTGCCATCAGATGGTAGCACTGACAAGTCACAACAAACCACAACAATGGTCATCGAATAAGATCTCTCTTGTCACTCCACGGGCTGTCACTTAATAATGGACAAATTACAAAAACAAAAAACAAAAAAAAACAAAACATTTTTGTGAGCACAGTTTCTTTCTGATCACCATCCAGTTAGAAGTGATGCCTCCTCGACTTAAGCGACTGCCTCCTCTTCCTCTTCCTGTGACACTGCTCCCTCCTCTCTGGCCAGAGGAAGCTGCCATTAGCGGCCCTGCAGGTCTCGTCGTACTCGTCGCTGTCAGAATCGAGCTCAGCCATTGGGAAATCTCTGTCTGGGAAAACTTCTTTCAGCTTCGACATGAAGAACAGCTCAAGGCTGTGGCCTGCTTGGGCCACCTCCGAGTCAGGCTGCGGTCAGAGTTAAAAAAAAAAAAAAAAAAAAAAAAAAAAAAAAAAAAGCCTTTTAGAATCATGCCAGCGTTAGTTAGCACTTTTATATGAGACTCAGATCAGTTTAATATGGTTTAAAACATGTTTAACTCACATAATTAAATTTTGCACAGTTGCGGAACATGAGACAGACATCAGCAACAAACTGGTCCGGGCAGCTGTAATGCCTGGGATTCCCTTTACTGAGCTTGGCTCTGATCACAGACAGATCCATTGGCCTCTTGATGATCTGGTAGTAATGACGTGCCTGGAAGATAAAGCAGTGTTATGAACTTCATACTCAATCGTTGTGAACCAGGGCTGCCAAAGTGCGGCGCTGGAGCCATTTAATTTTGTTCGGCTCCCCGAATGCATTAAAAGAATGATGCAACTTTGCCGTGCCATCGCAGGTGATTAATGCAGATGGACAAAATGTTTTTGCCAACAAATTAAAATTTTCTTGAAATGAAAAAAAAAAAATTATAGGTGCAACACCAATTTTTTTTTTTATTTTTTTTTTTTTTAATTTAGGCACAGTTCAGGAAATTTAGGAAATGCAAAACCTTTTTTTTATATTTTTCTGATCAATAGAAATGTCAGCCATTAAACAATCAGTTTGTCCATTTTATGAAATCGTTGCATTTTTAGCTTATTTTAAGGAAAAGGGGAAAAAAAATTACAATGAATTAACTTTTTTGTTTGGTACTTGTAAAAAAAAAAAAAAAAAAAAAAAAAAAAAAAAAAATTTAAAACAACTCCTTTTATCAATTTTAAAAAATTTGCCCACAAACTAAAAATTT